GCCCAGCAGGGTTATCTGAGCACCGAGTGCGAGACCCGGATATGGCCCAGCAGGGTTATCTGAGCACCGAGTGCGAGACCCGGATATGGCCCAGCAGGGTTATCTGAGCACCGAGTGCGAGGCCCCGATGAGGTCCAGCGAGGTCATGAGGTCACGTGAACACAGACACAGTCACGCTGCAGGGGTACTTGCCGCTGAGCAGAGGCTTGTTGAGCGTGTACAGCGGGGGCAGGTCTTCTATGTTGGAGATCCGCTGGTACATGGCCCTGGAGAGGTGGTCGCCGTGGTAGAGGCTGCCCAGGATGATGCTCGAGAAGTAGATCGGCTCCACGAAGATGCTGAGCAGGGACCCCTGCACGCCCACCACGTTCCACCTGCAGGCAGAGGGAACACACTCTTGAGTGGAAGACGGGGTGTCGTGCCAGAGGGCGCCCACCCAGCGCACCGCACAGCTGCCTGGCCCACAGACGTACTTGATGGTGAACAAATGTCAACAACTAGCAAAAGGCAGCACTTAAACAGAACTGACACAGAGGGAACGCTACTGAACGATTCTTCGAAACTGGGGAACTATCTCCTGTGACACATTACTGAGGCTTAGTGCTGGAAAGCGTCCATGAGCCACGTTTCTTGGGAGAAAACTCAAAAGAGCAAGTACATTTGTATTACTTCCAGTAAAAATAACTGCAGAGGTGCCTGGGGGGCTCAGTTGTTTAGTTTTTTGCTTTGGGCTCAAGTCATGATCCCGGGGTCCTGGGATTGAGCCCCGCATCGGGTTCCCTGCTCGGCGGGGGGTCTGCGTCTCCCTCTGACCCTCCCCCTGCTTGTGTTCCCTCTCACTGTGTCTCTGTCAAATAAAATCTTTAAAAAAAAAAAACTGCAAAGGAGACCTTGAAAACCTCAAACTTGCTCCTTGCCGACAATCTGAGCCGAGCTTGGTTTGATATGTGGAGGGAGGCTCGGCCAGGAGGGGAGGGCGAGCTCGCAGCTGCCCTGGGTCACTAGTCACAGCACTGTCCCCGTCACCGGCAACCCAGGCTTTCTGCTCCAGCGCACCTACCCTCTCACCACGCGCCCCTGCCCCCTTCCTGAGTTCACAGATGGCAGGAGCCCATGGTGCCAAGGCCACAGGGCTAGGGAAGGCACGGCCCATGTGCTCCTGGGGCCAGGGGGCTGTCTGGACAAAGAGCAAGCAGTAACAAGGCAAACACATGATCGAGAACACAAACAGAGGTGAAATCAACCGGAGGGAAAGCAGGATTCCAAGAAAAGGAAAAGTGGGTGCCAACTTCAGGAAGGCTCCCGAGGGTGACCCTGACGCTCAGCCCCAGGAGGGGCCTGTGAGGCGGAGGGAGGGGCCCAGACAGACCCAGGAGGGGGGCGCAGTGGCAGCCGGGAGGAAGGCCAGGGGAAGGCAGCCTGAGGCCAGTGGGGAGCCCCTGAAGGACTTTGAGCAAGGCAGTAGCACCATCTGATTTAATGGAAATATTTTTAGGCGACAACTCACCTGCACGCTCCTCTGCCTATGAGCAAGGAGCTACAGGCGGAGGCTGTTGGGGGGCGGCCTTGGCTGCAACACAGGTCAGAAGTGAGCAGGGACAGGACGGGAGGCCCATCTGAGAAAGACCCTTGGGTCCAGGGGCTGCAGGGTCTGGACAGACTGTGGGGGTGGGGCTGGGGTGGGTGCAGAGCCCCTCCCTGCGCCCTCTGCACTGCCCTCACCGCAAGGCCACCCATGCCATCTTGGCTGCACACATGTTTGTACGTCGGGCCCAAGTCCAGCAGGTCCCTCGGCCCTCGTGGAGACAGAGGGCAGTGCCCAGTGGGGTCAATGCTGGCAACCAATGGTGCACAGGGTCCACTGCCCAAACTCCTGACCTGTCCAGCTCCATGCTCCATGCTGGAGCCAAACCCGCAGAGTCATGGGCGGGTGGCTCGCAGAGCTGGGGACCTCCTGTCAGAGCGGACCGAGGAGGTACCATTCGGCCATTGCCCCTGCTGGACCACAGGTCTCCAGCCACAGGTCCCCACCTGCTTTGTCGCTGTGTCCCACGGTGACCACGGCCCCCACCCCCAGTGGCTCATCCCAGAAGAGCCGCCGTGGGACCCTGTGAACACAGGCCAGGCCAGGACACTCCTGTGCACAAAATCTTCCAACACTCCCATCTTCTCCCTAGAAATCACCATCATTCCAAAGGCCCCTCCAGGCCCATCTGACCTGGCTGTCCCTCCCTCACCACCCCCCTCCCATGCTTGGGCCACCAGGGGCAAGGGGGCTTCTGGCCACTCCTCCCAGGCCCTCTAGCCTGGAACCCGTCCCCAGCAGCCTCCTGGCCACAGTGCCCCCACCTCTCCGTCTCTGCAGGAAGTCCCTCTCCGTGGGGCCTCCCACCCACCACCTGCGTGCCCTCCTGTGCTGACTTCCGTCTCCACTCCCACCTCCCAGCACCCAAGCTCCATGGGGGAGGGGCTTCTGTTTTCCTCACTGACACAGCCTCAGATCAATAAATACTCGCTGAAGGGATGAGTCCCCAGTCCTGCATGTTCCTCCCACCCTCTGAAAAGTTCAAACACAGATTTTCCTATCTTACAAGAAAAAGCATGAACTGGCTGCATGCTTACAAAAACCACAGGGCACCCCTTCTTATGTAAATTCCAGCCTGGACAGGGGTTCATCTCTAAGGGGAATTCAGCCTCCCAGGGCAAACTCTAAAACAGTGATCTTGCAGAGCCCTATATTTGTGCCGTCATTAATCCTGAACACATGCTTCGTGAAAGAATTCTAGCAGCCACGATTGCTCTGTGGAGGCCCTGGGTGGGAACGCGTGGGTCGCCAGCCACTTCTGCAGACGGGCTCCTGCCAGTGCACCTTACAGAGCACAGGGAGGGCTGGGAGGGTGGATGCAGCCGGGCTCCCGGCACCCAACGTCCCCAGGCAAACCTCTGCAAAGACGTGGGCCAGGTGTGCACACCCACCTCCACCCTGGTGCCTGGCTCAACCCCCCTCATGAGGGCGCAGGGGTCCGCGGCGGAGTGCGGGGTGGTACTAGTAAGAACCACGCAGGTACCTAGGGGCAACGGCCTCTCTCTCCCCTCCCCAGGTGATTTCTGGGAGGCCAGGGCTCAGAGCAGGGTTGCCCAGCTGGGTCCCCTGGTGCAGCTTCCCCATGCCCACCCACAGCCTCCAGGGAAGCACATGGGGGCCCCTCCCCTCCACTGCCCTGCTCCCCCTCTGGCCTGCCTCTGCGGCTGCCACACAGGAAGAGTGGAGGGCCGCAGGCCTCACCCCCGCCCCCACACCCCACACCGGATTCGGCTGGGAGGTCCCTGCTTCCTCCCTCTCTCCCTCCCTCCACACCCCTGCTCCTTCTCCACAGGACGCGCTGTGCGGCGCCCCGTGGCTCACTCTCCTCACTGGCCCCCGCCAGCCAGACAGATGGCACCTGCTGGCCCCCAGCTGCAGGACTGCTCCTCCCTCCCCACGCCCAGCCTGCCCATCGCCCCGATCCTGTGCTCTCCCGTCCGACGGGGACGTCTGTGGGACACGGTTGTGCCCCTCTGTAAGGGACACGGGCGGCCTTGCCTTCCAGAGGGGCCGCCCAGGACGCTCTCACTCGCTCAGGGCAGGGTCAGCACAGCAGCCACCTGGCAGCACCGTGGCTACCACAGTGTTTCTGGACGACCTTCCTGGCCCCCCGCCACGTGCTGGTGTGACACTAACAAGCCCCCCAGGCATACCTAAGCCTATGCTACTGCGGGACTCCAGGAGGACGGGGGCTGGTTCAGACCATTCAGCCCAGCCCCCCACCCCCACTTCCAGGGAGGGCAGGGGGTGGAGGCTGGTCGCCAGGGACCAGGGACTTACGCCCAGGAATGGAAATCCGCACAAGGGCCCCCAGCGGAGGGGCTCACAGCCAGGCGCTGAGGGGAGGTGGGCGGGACAGCAGGGATGCGCCTCAGCCCCAAACCCTTCTCCTGTGTGTCTCTTCCACCTGGCTGTTCCCCAGCTGTATTCTTTCTAATAAACTGGTAAGTACTAAGTAAATTGTCTTCCCTGCGTTCTGCGAGCTCTGTTAGCAAATTACTGAACCCAAGGAGGGGGTCCTGGAAACCCCTGACGCGTGGCCGAGTCAGACAGAATGTGGGTACCCTGGCGCCCAGGTCCTACCACTGGCGTCTGGAGGAAGCAGCCCCGTGAGGCCGAGCCAGTACTCTGCGGGGTCTGCGCGAGCTCCAGGAGGCGTCGCAGAGTCCTGGAGAAGTGTGGGGGGGGCGCCTGACGCTCCCGTGTGTAACCCCCATCTCAACAAGACCCAGAACGTTCACTTCTCCCCAGCAGAGACCCCCAGCCAGTGCCTCTGTGTTACTGAGTTGTAGGAACTTTATCAGCTGAGTTCTCACCAGAAGTCAGAATCCCATTTCCCCTTTGTGGTTTTTTCTTTCCACTATACCTAAAGGGGTTTTAGTAAATAAGTTTTAAATTTCTAATTTAGTCAAATTTATTCATGCTTTTCTTTCTAATTTGGGCTTTCTATGCCTTGATTATGAAACCTGCTTCAGCAGAGGCCACAAAACTTATCAGCAGCCACTCTTCACGTTCAGCTCCTTCATCTAGCTGGAATGCGCTTCTGGGTGCCGAGTCAAGGGCCTGCTTTTCTTTGTGCATAAACACACTCCATAGGTCCAGGACTGTTTGCAGACCACAGATCCCACATGCAGCACAGATTGCAACGGCAGGCCCACGCTCCTTCCCTCCATCCTGCGAGTCCCAGCTTCCTGCGCAACAAGACGTGGCCCTCGACCAGGTTCTGGATGATGAAACGCAGCTGTCTAATGTGACCAGGCCGGTGGACCTGGAGGTGTGGCCCAGGAGGCATGCTGGGCTGGCCCTCCTGCCTGCCCTCCCTCCTGCTTCAGAAGCTCAGACCAGCTGCAGGGGATTTGGTGGGCACTGCAGGACCTTGAGGACAGAAGGCGCCTCCTGGATGCGGCAGGAAGACTGAATCTGGACGACCCACCTACTGTTGGACCCGACTCTCTCTGAGACAGAAATAAACTTCTGTATCGTTTGCATTTCCTCTAAACACAGGCGACCCTGACCGCCCGTCACCAGCAGTCTTACACCTGTCATCTGAGTGCTGGGATCTGACTTTCAAGGTCTGTGAAAAAATGATGACATTTAATTAAAACTGCATTAAAGTTACAGCTTTGTAAGAAACTGACAGTTAAAAGTACACTACTGGATTTGGTGTGTATGTGTGTGTTTTCCTGACGGAGGACAGCCTGTCACTGTGCTTCTCTTTACCAGCCCTGCTGGTTTGGGGATGAAGTGGTGATGATCCCGTAAAGTGAGCCGGGGTCTTTCCCTAGTTTT